GACTCTAATGTTATCTCACTCAATGAGCAAACTCATTGTGATCACCAAAATATTTTCGATTCTCTGGTTTTTCATTAATCAAATTATAGCAATTTGATTTTTATTTTTCAGTTTTGAAATCTTTTCCCTGCTTTGGTCTCTACTACCCGCCTTTATGTTCATCCAAATTAATATATGTACCTTCTCATTGTTTTAGGTCGAGTGGTGCTTCTGGTCGTTCACTATTCTTTATCTACGGAAAGTGGACATTTGTCACTGTCATATATGTCTTGTCATCACAGAACTTGCGTTTTGCGTTCTGTGGATTGCTAAGAACACCACTTATCCTCCATCATCTAATGATATAGGTTTGTTTTCGAGTAATTATTTGATTCTACGGTTTTTTTCGTTTTTTTCCAAAAATGAGTTTTGCCATTAAATCTTGATCATGTACGTCCTCATAGAAGCACAGGGCCCCCCTACAATTAATCTGACCCTTAACCAGTGCTTTGCACAGTAATTTTATTTTCATTATGTCTTTTTCATTCCCACGTGAGTAAATTCTCCATTTTTTATATTTTTCATGATTAACTTGTATCATATTATAGGACCTTTGGTTTGTAAGGATTGAGACTGATGATGGACACATGACTGTCCGAAACATGTTCCTCGAAATAATCTTTCGATTATTAAACGTTGTGGAGATGATTTTGTGTTTTCTAACCCTTTCAGACGTAATGAAGTTTTATTATTGAGTTCAATCACCATTTTTTAAATGATTTTTTCGATAGCTCTAGACATTTTTTTTTCGATTTATGATAAATTGATATTCATCATACAGGACATGGAAAGAAATTCTGAATTGAGAAAACCTAATCACGAATCTGCGATTGATGTCTATAAAAATAACATAATAATATTATTTTATCCGATTTGAGAGATTATGTCAATTCTCAATTTCAGAGTATTTCCATTTTTCATGCTCTCTTTTTGGATATTCAACAGAAATAATTCAATGTTCGACGTGGCAACTAGCCAGGAAAGTAGTTGTTTTCTGTTGAATATTCAGAATGATATTATTTACATATCTTTATATGAAGGAGAATACAAATTCTCCACTTCAGAAGATTTTGTTTTCAAATTCTTATCGTGTGTGTTCAATAGATATAATTCAATGTTCGACGTGGCAAATAGTCAGGAAAGTAGTTGTTTTCTGTTGAATATTCAGAATGATATTATTTACATATTTTTATATGAAGGAGAATACAAATTCTCCACTTCAGAAGATTTTGTTTTCAAATTCTTATCGTGTGTGTTCAATAGATATAATTCAATGTTCGTCGTGGCATATAGCCAGAAAAGTAGTTGTGTTCTGTTGAATAAACCGAGAAAGAATTGATGAAAATCATCACATAGAGAATGCGAATTCTCAATGTATTTCTTTATACAGGGTTGGGCAAAAGTATGGAACCAGGTGAATATCTCGGTAACCGTTCGTTAGATTTTTTTGGATATATGTACAGGGTGATTTCAAAACGTGATGGATTTGAAAATGTTATCGTCGATGTTGCCACTTTTTCAGTTATTCCGGAATTATTATCAACTCCCTTATTTTAAATAGAACACCCTGTATTTTATCGAATTCACAGATTCTCCCTGAGAAGCTGATTTCATCGATTCATCACACTTGGGTCTAGCAAGAATGATTACTGAGATATATAGGGTGTTCGAAATCGAGATTTTTCAACTTTAGATCTTTTTGTGTCGAAACTATTCACTATTGGTCAAAACGGCTTACGTCCCAAAGTCAACTGTTGATTCACTATCTACCGTCATTTAATTGAAACAAATACAGGGTGGTTCAAGATTCAGAAATCTGATTACCCTGTATCTGTTTCCATTAAATACCAATAGATAATAGATCAAAGGTTAGGATAGGGACATGGAAGCCGTTTTGACTGGTGATGAATAGTTTCGACACAAAAAAATCCCAAAGTTGAGAAATCTCGATTTTGAACACCCTATATCTCAGTAGTCATTCTTGCTAGACCCCAAGTGTAATGAATCGATGAAATCAGCTTTTCAGGGAGAATCTGAAAATTCAATAAAATATAGGGTGTTTTATTTAAAATAAGGAAGTTGATAATAATTCCGGAATGAATAAAAAAGTGGCAACATCGACGATAACATTTTCAAATCCACCACGTTTTGAAATCACCCTTCACATATATTCAAAAAAATCTAACAAACGGTTACCGAGATATTCACCTGGTTCCATACTTTTGTCCAACCCTGTATACATATTTACATCCATTTTTTCATGTTCATGATTTTATCTGAGAATACTTCTTTTCAACATTGTTTTCTTGCCAATTATTGTGTTGATCATTATGTGTAATCGAACATATTTTATCTATCGTTCCAATTTCGGAAACACACAATATATACCTTATTTCTATGATATCCTGAAAGGTCAATGCTGTCAATGAAGATCTTGCTGAAATCACAGCCACTGGCGGATCTGAGGGGGGGGCCATGGGGGCCATGGCCCCCCCCAGAGCTCTGAATAAGTAGTTGATATTGGTTCAACAATCAGTCTGGATATGCAACCAAAGCTACGTTATACAAACCAAAATTATTCGTATTCGTAGTTTTCGTATTGAATGGTTCCTCAGTTTTGAATACACTAGTAGTTCTGAAAGAAAACCGACAAAGAGCTGAAGAAAATTTCAATGCAATTTTCAAGAATATCGAAAAATCCCTAGTTGAACTGGGGGTAACTTTGAGCAAACCGAGAACCACTGGAGTCATGAGACATAGACCAAATCCAAATTGCGAATCATTGGAACAATACTATAGGCAGATTATATATATACCCTTGCTCGATAGTATAATTACGGATTTGGAAGGTCGATTTTCTGCTGAAACAACAAGTTTGTTCAATTTGAACATTATAATACCCACGTTAATAAGGGAAATTGGTACGACATCTCTGGATTCAATGGCACGAGCCTTAGTGAAAAAATTCAACAAACTTTTTCATCAAAATGAGGAGGTTTTATTCACAGAATTCAAAAGCGAACTGAAGTTATGGAAGGCGAAGTGGTTAAAAGCCAGCGAAGAAAAACTTCCTGTTCCAGACGATGCTTTAGGAGCCCTTGCTCACTGCGATAAAATAATGTTTCCTTTAATAACATCATTTCTTGAAATTTTCATTACACTTCCGATCAGTGTTGCCTCATCAGAAAGAAGTTTTTCTTCGTTGAGGCGGATAAAAAGTTGGCTCAGATCTACTATTTCGGAAGATAGGCTATCTGGTTTAGCTATTATTAACGCTCATCCGGACATTGAGATTAATGAACAATTAGTTATCAACAGATTTGCCAACAGTGGCCATAGGCATGTAGATTTTGTTTTATGAACATAATTCAATAAGCTTATGTTTTATGCGTTTAATTATTAAGTTTACTTATCAGTAAAATTGTGGATTTGTGTTTTTGTTTGTTTAGTCACATTTTTATCCATCACATTTATGTTATCCTGGAGTGAGCTCCGACCACCCGAGGTGGTGCTGTAGGTTTTTCCGGATTTTCCTGCAGCTGAAAAGTGAATACTCCACCAAAAATCAGTGAGTGGCCACGGAGCGCCACGGCAAATAAAAGTAATATCCATCCTCTACCCGCATCTCTTTTCTGGAGATTTGAAATACATTACTTTGGTCTTTTCAGATGTTTTTTCTACTCTGCTGTCCCTGAACATTTTCATACCAAAACCATTCCCTGTGCAAAGTTTCATCCTAAACGAAAGTGATGAAGTTAAAACCATGGGCTTTGTGCTATATATATATATATATATTCATATACATATCATTCATTATTTATGTGGTTTCAATCACTTTGGTTTCAAAATTCCATTAACTCACGGCCCATGGCCCCCCCCTGAAAAACTGCCTAGATCCGCCACTGATCACAGCCTGGGGAACCTAGTTGAATTCAACGCCACCAAAACTCAAGCCTGCATTTTCTCTAGAAAGGCGGAACTCAGTATGCCCGATATTGTAATGTCTGGCTCCACCATCCCCACCAAGCCCACCATATCTATGCTCGGTATTTCCATCAGCAACACTCTTTCATAGGATAATCATGTCAGATCCATCGCAAAAGCTGCTTCACAAAAACTCGGATTCTTGTTTCGTGCGAAAAGCTACTTTACACCTCAGCAGCTTCTCATGATCTACAAAGCGCAAATACGGCCTGTGTTAGAATACTGTTCCCACATATGGGGTTCAGCACCAAAACATACGCTGATGCTCTTAGATTCCATCCAGAGAAGAGCCATTCGCCTGGTGGGTGACGCCACACTCACTCCCTCTTTGACATCATTGGAACACCGTAGAAAGGTCGGCGACCTTTCACTTTTCTATCGATACTTCCACGGGAAATGTTCTTCGGAAATCTCTGCTATCATCCTTCACTAGTAATACCAATCAGACGAACTAGACGAGCCCAGTCAGCACATCCTTTCGTTGTCAACCTCGAAAGATGTCGAACAGCACTTTATCAAGACCCCTTCATCCATAGAACGGCTAGGCTCTGGAATTCATTGCCTGTGGAAGTATTCCCAACAACATATAATCTCCAAAATTTCAAAAAAAAATCCAATACCTACCTCCTGTCCCTATCCTCCCTAGGAACGCACGATGTTCTTTGAACATTATAGGGATTCCCTTTCGTGCGCTCCAAGCGATAAAAGAAATATATATCGTCCTGATGCATTTCAACGCTCTGTACATCCTCAATGAACCATACTTGGGTGTGTAAGAAATATTATATCTTATCTTTTTCTTCTCTCGAATCACCCTATACATATTAAATATTAATATGCGATATTGGTGATAGGTATTTACCTCCGGTAAACGTCTGAAAGACTCGCGGGAAATACCGAACTACCAGATGGTTGAGTGTTAAGTGGCCGAATCTCAGGGCAAGATATCAGCACCGGTATAAACAGTAGTTCTGCAGGTTCTGTTCGTTATTACGTGGTTGTGATTGTCTTCAACGGGCTCATTCAGAATTGAAGAAATTGGTTCGATATTAGATAAGGAGGATAGTATTCCTGCAAATAATCTTTTTTTGGGGTGAGTTTGAATTGACTTGCAATTTTTTTAATTGAAACGGCTGGAAATCGATCATATTATTGATAACAGTCATCAGCAGTGCGTACCTTCAACTGAGTAATCGGCTTTTAGTTATTGAAAAAGACCTCAGGAAAAATGAAAAAAAAAAAATGTTGAAATTGTGGTCATTTAATGGATGATTTTCTTGACCAGATCAGTCTTGAGGAAAAACAGAAAACTCATATTATTTCAAAAACAACACTCTGTATCAAAATTCTGTAGATCTGTTTCGATATCTGAAAAGAGCAGGGAAAAACGAATAAAGTGACCTACTTTTTACAAGCGCGCATTTGACAGGTGTTTTTTTTTGTTATTTTCTGAAATACTCAGCTCAATTTTGAGGCATTTTTATTGAACTCGTAATTCAAAATCCAATTATTTTACAAAAAAATAACTGTCTTCAAAGTCCAACATCATCAGAGTTTATCGATAGATTTGTTAGTTTGTCCATGGAATTGCTTGTCTGTGGTTTTAGAAATTTTTGAGGAATCATTTTATTCTTCACTATTTTTTCATGAGCTGCGGTGAAGTAGGCTGTGCAAAAAATTCTGATATTCTGACAGTTCATATAATCACTAGTGTGATATTATTGATAATAGTTGGTGCTTCTTTATTGGGTTGTTTATAATGCTACCTACCAATAATATCACAGTGGTGTTTGTGAACTGTCAGAATTTAATTTTTTTTTACAAGGTCTACTTTACCGGAGCTTATAAATGAATAGTGAATAATACAGTGAGCTCTCGAGAATTTCTAAAATCATTGACAAGTTATTTTGTCGAACGAACAAATCTATCAATAGTTCACCTAATTTGACTCTAATGATGTTGAACTTTGAAGACTGTTATTTTTTTGTATGAAAATTGGATTGTGAATTACGAGTTCAATGAAAATAATAATAAACCATCTGCCAAATTGGATTCGTGCTCGTGAAAAGTAGGTAACTTTATTCATTCTTTCCCTCTCTTTCCAAATATCAACACAGATTCATAAAATTTTGCCATACAAAGTGTTATTTGTGTGATAGAAGAAGTTTTCTGTGTTTCCTTAAGACAAACCTGGATTCTGATCTCGATTTTGATTTAGTTCTGATGTGCAATATAATTTGAATATTTCTACTAAGTATGAATACATTATACAAAGTGGTTCAAACATTATGACCAGATGAAGATTTTGCAAGTTATAAAAGACGGTATAGACACATCGATGGGGGTGATTTGAAACCGTCAAAGTGTCCTATATCTGCAAGTTTCTTCTGTACATTCAAGTCTGAAACACCCTGTATATAACATTTATCAATTCTCAATTTGATGATGATGTCTTTTTCAATAGCTCAAAGTTGATTATCTTTTACTATTTTTTCAATTTAAATATAGCTTTCTTCAAGAATAAATTGAAAAAAAAAATTCAATTTCCCTTAAGTATTTTTCAATAACTAAAAGCTGATTACTTACCCACAGGTACGCACTGAAGATGACTGTTAGTCGAAAGCGCTCTGCTATGGAAAAAAATAGAATTTATTTTGCACGAAATACAACAATTTGTACTATTTTGGTATATAATTTTTTCCCCGAATGTTATGAAACAAATTTTGTGAATTTTTTTTTTGAAAACTCCATCATTTTGTGTTCACCCAATGTCAGTGTCTATTTAGATTACTAATTTCATTCAAATTACTTGGAATGTTGCATAGCAACAAACTTTTCCTGCCTAGTCAGAGAAAGTACAACTTTCCTGCCAGATAAGTGCAATGTCAGAGAAAAGTCACTTTCTATGCCGCTTGGAAAAAAGGATACTTATTTCACTATGCAGGAAAGTAGTAGATTGACTGCGGCGACTGATAGCTACGCTAGGCAGTCAATTTACATTTGCTGCCGTGTGAAACATAACATTTTTGCTCCCAGCAGCAGTAAAAGTGGCTTTGCAAGGCGATCAGCTGCCTGAAAACAAATGATTTTAGGGCTTTTAGTGCGACTTGGCTGTCTGAGCAGATATACAGAGTGATTCAAGAGTAAGTGGCATCCACTCAGGGGCGTATTCCTTGCATAAAAATGAGGCAAAAAGTTGCTATTGATAAGAGTCCGAAGATGATTCGGAGCTACGCCCCTTTGAATAGGACACCTCAAAGACGATTTTTCCTCTATAACTTCAAAATCCTCCACAATAAATTTGATGGTTAATGAGATTCTGAATCCAAAATTGCAATTCATTCAGAGGCGTCACATGATATCCAGATTATTATGATTTCGTTCTGAAATTATAAAATTCTAGAGTTTTTCACGTAAAAAAGGTTCTCATAGTTTATTTCGATAGAGAGTACCATTTAGGAGAAAATCGAATTGGAAAACTTCATGATTTGCGTAAATCACAATAACTTGAATATCAAAAGAAGAAGAGATGTTTTTACAATTTTGAAATCGTGAATTCTTAGTCTTATTCACCATCGAATGTTTATGCCGTACACCAGTTTTCGAAAATTGATCGTGAAGGACTTTGAAGTCGTGAAGAAAAAATCGTCTTTGAGGTGTCCTGTTCAAAGGGGCGTAGCTCCCTTCGGAGGCATTTTCAGACCCTTATTAATAGGAACTTTTTGCCATATTTTCATGCAAGGAATACGCTCCTGGAAGAATGCCGCTTATTTCTGAATCACCCTGTATAATATGTTGGCACCCTTTTGGGCGCATAGGTTGATGACATGTATTTCAGCTTGGAAGATGGGGAAGGGACCTAGGCTTCAAATTGCCTACATCCGGGTCCATATACACCCGCGCCTACCCCTTCTTCCATTTTCGAACCATCGGCGAATCAAACAAGGGACCCTCCTGTAAAGCTGTGACTCAGCGGAACCGTACCTAGGGCGACTTTTTACAACCACTTCAAAGGCAGGATCGAAACTGAGCCTGGCTGGCATTAAGTCCGATGGTTTGGTCGCAGATTCCATTTGTACTTCTTGTTGAATGACCAAGTGACCAGTGACATCACCTGGTCTGGCCAATTCAGTGGAATTCAGTCTTTATGCACTGAGAGCTGCAGTCCTCTTGATAAACATATGCAATAGTAGATCAAGCATAGCTTCCATTGCTGCAGTAGGGCACGTACGCATAGCCCCTGTGATCCCAAGACACGAGATCCTCTGGATTTTTTGCAGCTTAAATTGTGATGTTTTCTCCTCACTTTTGGTCCACCACACTATAGATAAGCATATGTGACCATGGGTCTGACCACCATGAGGTAAGACCAGTAGATCATATTTGATTTAAGATCCCACGTTTGACCAAACATCCTTCGGTATATCCAGAGAGCTGAAATCGCCCTATTGACAATTTTGGTCAAGTGTTGGTTCCACGTGAGTTTCTTATTGTCTAGGATTACTCCTAGTTATTTGACCTCTTCGGAGAAGTTGATAGGCGTTCCATCCATAATGAGTTCCTTTAAATTGATCTTCCTTCTTTTGGTGAATGACACGATGACTGTTTTGCTAGGGTTGATATTCAAGCCCTTCAGAATGCACCAGTCTTCCAGCATTTTGAGTGCAGTCTGCATTAGGCTTGATACATTCCTATCATGCTTACCTCTTATTATTATGACGATGTCATCCGCATAGCCTTGAATATCGAAGCCAACGGTGCTTAGTTTGTTGAGTAGGTTATCGACAACTATGGACCACGAAAGAGGAGACAGTACCCCTTCTTGGGGGCAACTTCTAGTGGCCTGTGCAGTTACCGAGCTGCTTCCCAGTGTAGCTTTTAGCTTCTAAAAATCATACTGCAATTTGCATTGAAATTAACCGAGAGTGTGATATTTTCATCACCTTAATTCATAAATGCTTATTCGCTAGTAATTCAATACTTCTGAATGCAATACATTACACATTATCTATGTCAGTTGATAGTACTAGGGAACATGGTGAATTAAAGAGAAATTTTCGGTGGTAATTAATGGAATAGCTAGTCAAAATTAACATATTAACCATAGGGAACTCTAAACTGTCGGACTTCACCCATTAGTTCAGTAAAATATAACGTTCATTTCGTTTTTCTTCATTCCCCGATGCCTGCTGGAGTTTCTAACCACATTTCAAAGTTTACGTTCACTATTGTAGAAGTAAATTAGCTCATTGTCGAGGTGAAATTATGGTGAATTCCTCTGCCGGATTTTTATGCGTGCAGAGAAGGCAAGAACTAACTGGAGAAAATACTGATACTTCAAATTCGCGAGCAACACCAGAAGGCACAAGAAAACATTGTGTGGAATGCTGAAATAAGAATAAATACCGATATTTCTGCCATCAGAAATGCAGAAATTGTACTTGCCTAAAGCACGCAAGAATTTGGGGCGCACCCTGTACTAGTGCCAGTACGATAACTAAATAATTATGAATTGGCGGTTTCACCAGAAAATTCCCCAAATTTTTGATTTCCAAATAGGACACCCATGTCTTATTAAGTTTGGTCAGCAAAAAACGATCAAAGTGAAACTCAAAAAACAATGTTTGCTTCCAATTAATACCCAAATCTACTCTTCAATGACAGGGCAAGATGTAACAATATATTTTGAAGTCAAAAAGTTGTCCAAGATTATAATTCTGTCCTAGCAGTCCGCCCCTGCTCATTTTTCTACAAAAAACAATCGAATCACATTGTTCTCTATTATTGAAATGACAATATTATCACGTTACTAATTTCCTGTAAAATTTCAATACTCTGATCATGCATGGTTAAACTAGGTTTGTGTTATCTTTGTATGTTATATATTTTGCATCATAAGTACAATAGATCGAAGTTTCGGCAGATTAGCAACTAAAAAAGGTAAATGACTATTCGTTTCTATAAAAATCATGTGGTGAGTGAGTTATTAAATTTTTTCAATACCAAATTTGTAAGTAATTAATTCAGATAATATAATTGATCAATTATTCAATTACGTTCTTCACGCTCATCATTACTTACAGTTCAAAATTC